TAAAAAATATGATAAACTATCTTTTGCCCGCGCCTTCACCCGCGTGAAATTTCGTCTGTCACAGATCGTCATAAATTATAGCCTATATTTTATTCTGGGTTATAAACAATAATACTGTAAAGTTCATCAAAATCCGTTCAGTAGTTTTTGTGTGAAAGAGTAACAAACATCCTGACATCCAGACATCCAAACTTTCGCATTTATAATATACTAGCTTTCCGCCCGCGGCTTCGCGCGCGTGGACCCCTGTACCCTATGTTTTTCCAAAATAAAATTTAGCCTATGTTACTCGTGGATAATGTAGCTTTCGAATGGTGAAAGAATTTTAAAAAACGGTCCAGTAGTTTTTGAGCCTATTCATTACAACCAAACAAACAAACAAAGTTTTCCTCTTTATAATATTAGTGTAGATAGGAAGTAGGATAGTAGGATTTTAATAACATGATGAAATCTACGGTCGATACTTTGTAATTCGATTAGATTAAATCCCACTTCTCAGGGCTTACGTATTCACGTTTGTTTACGTACCAAGGCTACTTTAATACTGTTTCAGCGAATTCATTGAATTGGAAAATCAGGTTTTGATGACTCAATATCGCTTTATATTTTCCATGTGATTTCATCCCGATATTTTCGGAACAACTCAAGTCTCAATGTTACTTCCTACTTACATTGAATACTGTAAAACAATTTTGTTCCCGAGAATTTAGAATTAAACATATCCTGCAGTGTATTTTTTAGGAAAAACTGTTAAATCTGAATGATATATGGAAAACAGCGTTTCAGAGAAACTCTGTACTGAAAAAAAGAACAATAACAATGGGTGTTGATGTTTTTTTTTACTTTTTTAACTGGTGTTTTGTAGACATCAAAATAGTAATGCAAAAGCCGCTATTCTTTTTGGGACGGATCAGATTTAGGGCAATCTAGGAAAGGAAGGAAGGAAAAGAATAGGAAAGTTGACAAGAATGTGGTTTAATCATTAAAGTAAGGACTCTGTGTCAAGGTGGACCGACGACCTCATAAAAGTAGCAGAATGTGCTGGATGCAGGCGGCTACCAACCGGGCGATGTGGAAGTCATTGGGAGAGGCCTATGTTCAGCAGTGCACGTCCTATGGCTGAAATGATGATGATGATGAAGGACTCTGTAACTACAGTGGCATTTTCTCTGGCAGGCTACATAATACACAGTTTTTGTATGATCTAACTCCAGTAACCGTTTCACAATAGTGTGAACGCTAAAACTGAAATAAAACACCAGCTGTTTGTTGCCGCGTGCTTACGTCATCGACTACCCACGGGATGCGTTACATCCGAGACGTAAATCCTAAAAAATATCAAAGGAAACCAATTGATGTTAGCACAGATACTTTTGCCTAACATTCTAATGAAGAAACATTTTTTTTTACATAAAAAACCATCTCAATTCTTGAGTAAAACAAATGCGCACAAAATGAATGGCATACTAGTAACACATCAGTTGTGATTTGAATGATAAATATCGCTTCCTGTTCGTTATGCCTTTGATGTATTTAGTCTGTAAACTTACTAGTTACAACTTTCTACTACTAATTATTTATGTAATGGATCAATTAATTACGTATTCCGCTCATTTAGCATTGAAAACACTCTTTAAGANATTTAAGAACGAATGAATAATAAAAACTTCACTGTTTTGTATATTGTATAATTCTTCATCACGCAAATCGAATAACATGCATATTAATATAATTTAGATTTCGTAACACATAAGAGATACCGACCACGCATCAACAAACATCATGTAACTGTAATAAACATTGCAGTTTTCTTATCATTTTATCAGCAATATTTATGAGTAACAATTTTAGATAGTTTGATAAAAGATTCTGCAAACAAAAACCCCATTAGTAAGTGAGTAATTAATCACGGGAAAGAAAACAACGGTAATGAATTACGCCCTTCCCTGTCTGCACGGAATAGATTAAACTGTCTCTAAACAAATGAACGATGATTTTTGCTGCTATAATTAATTTTTATAAACAAGTATTCCGTTTAGTCCTACAAAATTCATACTTACTCTACCAATACCTTTGGTTGTTATTTAATGTAGCTCCAACCTAAATTAAATTGGTTATTATTATTTTATACGGTTTTAAGCATCTGAAGTCCATCAGGCTGATTGTGACATTAATCAAAATATTATGTGCTAAAACCATCCCCAGCCGTACCTACTTACTTACTTACTTACGCCACTTTACAGTTCAAAACGAACTTAGTTGTATCTTTCCTTTCTTCCTCGCACTAGCTTTAAAATTTATAAATGAACTCTATCATATTTTTTGTTTGACTATTGTTAGCCCTCTATACCTCGCTTCTGCATTTAGTTTTGCTATCACACTATTAAGAGGTATTATTTCTACTCGTATATTTGGTTGGTGGTAGGGCTTGTTCTAAGTCCGCCTGGCTAGCTACCACCATCTTACCTAAGTCTGTCGCCATAACAACAATGTTAACAGCATTATTGTGTTCCGGCAGTTAGAGGTAAGATAGCCAGTTCCGGGTGAAGCTCGCTTCCACCTTCGGCCTGATCGTCACTTACCATCAGGGTGAGATACAGGCCAAGGGCTTCTTCGTTGTGGATAAAAAAAAAAAAAAAAAAAATATGATCTGCTATCTGACAAAGGTGACTGAGTTTCTTCCGCCACTTCTTCTTAGCACCAACCCATAGGTATGTTGTCTCGAAGAGGTGGTTGGTAGGGCAAGCTATATTTGGGACGTGTATGTATAAGTGGAAAGGGCCTATGTACTGATAGGTGTGACCTATCAACAGCATCATTCCACCCTGTATGATGTCCAATATACGGTAACCTCGTCCATAGATCACTACCCACAATGATTCACGGATCCCTGCATCGAATGGCCGCTGCGGCCGTAATTAAGCCGTCGGCCCTCCAAATATATTGGTGTTATAAACGAGTTTGCTTTTTAAAACTTAGGTACCTACTGCCAAAAAACGCTACATAAGGTTTCCGACTGATAAAATACTGCCTTAGCAACTTTAGAACTTAGATACCTGCTGCCAAAAAGACTCTACATAAGGCCGCTTTCACATTAGGGTGTCAAAAGCGTGACAGCGGCACTTTTGTAATATAAGGCATCCGCTGTCATATAGTATGAAATTATCGGCAGCGCGACTGTCGCGCGTTTGTCGCGCTGCTTAAGTCATCATTCAGTCAGTAAAAATAATGACAAAAAGAACCTTATGATCCAGATCTTGAGTAGCTTCTGCAGATTTCTTGTACACAAGACTATTAGGGCTGGTTTCCACGTAAAAATCCCGTTTTTTTCCGGCGTCCTACAAAAACCCGATCGTACGAATTTGTAATTCACACGACTGTACATTTTTGCGGGTTCCCGCAAAACTGGATGGCCGTGGGAACGAGCCCTTACAGCGGTAGAAAGGAGGTAGTGAAATGTTCCTTTCTGCATAAATCTTGTTACAGTCTCCTTTAGGACAAGTCGGTTTCCCTAAAGACTGTAAATATAGCATTAAGTCGAGACATAAAAACTGCGCGAGCTTCCGCGATTTATATTATCCAAGTTTCAAATCCCGGAGCAATATTTTTAGTTGCAAAAGGCTGAGTGTAGAGTCCTGGTATTTTACCGCTTTAGCCTCGGAAACTCGTGCCGCAGACATCGATATTTAAATGGGTTCCCTTTTTCGGTGTTTTCTGGAATATGCCTGTGTATCATTTAACCGGTTTTAATTTCATGTCTCAACACATGATAATGGAACTTACTTAATTGAGACTTCCCCTATTTTTTAATTCTCCCAAAATTAGGACTTATGTACTTGTTATGTGTCTTGAAAACTTTAGTTTCTAATGAAAACATGTTTTTTTAGCAGTAGGAATAATACAGGATGTGGTTTTGTAAAACAACCCCCATCTCAGAGTAGTCAATTAATGACAGGAAAAATAAAAAATAAATTACTATTACTTCAATAGTAAAAATCCTTGCTAGCTTAAAGATTTCCGTGAAATGGTTTCATAATAAACCACTTTCACGGAAATCTTTAAGCTCTAAGTGCCATCTTTATACGTCCTTTGTTCTACCTTTATCTCCTTTGCTTAACGACCCACAAACACTAATATTATCAGAACTGTCTCTAGTTTACGGCAGCGACCAGAAGCGACCTCGTCTAACCACTTTCCCTTTTACTAACAAACATCTCAACTAATAATATTCATATTGTCGGCCGTTTGGTGTAGTGGTTCGAAACGGACTACTATTCCGGAGGTTGCGGGTTCGATTCCCGCACAGTACAAACATTTGTGTGCATGAATATATTTGTTTGTATTGGACTGGGTGTTTTCTATGTATAATATGTATGTATTTACAAAAAAAAAAAAAGTATTTAAGTATGTTTATATCCGTTGTCTAGTACCCATAGTACAAGCTTTGCTTAGTTTGGGACTAGAAGCGCAGTGTAAAATGTTCAAGGATATTTATTTATTATTTATTTATTTTGTTCTCAGGTAAGTCTGTATACACAAAGAACCCGACCGTTCATCAGCAAGGTTTGTTTTGGGATGAATAGAAATTCGGATGGTGTGGACACAATAGAGCAAACTATGTAAGTACGCGTGAGGACCTAAAAGCAATTACTTGGGTCGATTCGCTTCTTCGGATCGATGGTGCGACTTACACATGCAACACATTAATATCATAAAACGCCAGCGACACTGACCGCATTTCATATGAGCGGTCGGAGCCTGCAGCATCCAACTGGGGAAATGCGTCTACTTTCTTTTCCACTGCATCTAGCGGGCTACAATCGCTACACACTCTGCTATCTGAAGCGTCATAAACATAACGCGGTTCGCTTTACAATATCAACTTTCAGCGCTGAAAGTAAGGCTTAATTTCGTTCGGTGACCGATTATTTAGGCCGTATTCATAGTGCGAGCCATCCCGTTTATTTTTCCGTGGCGAGATGGGTACAGCCGGTCGGTTAGTCGCTCGTAGCGTGCGGTGCGGTCGAGACGTGCCCGCGCGGTCGGTAGTGCTCCGCGTCGGTTTTTGTGACACCTCATTTGTATTTGGAACATGTGCTGTGCTTGACTGGGAGATGACCGGTGAAATTTGCTGCAGTAACAAATGGTATGCGTTTGGTGCGCGTAGCTGAGAAAGGGAAATGCACTTGCGTGCGCTGCTCTCGGCCGAACGGACTGCCGGCATGAAGGGCCAACCGGTTTGGTGAGATCAGTTGCCGATCTGCACTTAGCTAGAATAGAAAGCCCTACACTTCATGAGCTACGATTTTATTTTGTTTTTGTAGACTGTTTACGCCGAAAGTTCCTTTGCCGATGAAAGTAGTCGATTTAAATTCCAATTAAAGGCTCACGCGCGGGCATCAGTCTACTCTACTTTGTATGCATTAGTGCGTGGTCACACGTAAGCTCGCTCGTGAACTTTTAACTGAGCTCTATTATATAACTTTTGCATAATAATCTTCACTCACCTAATGTTTTGTATATCATCCTATGTTATGTTTACACATCATCTTTTACGCATTCATTTGAAAGTGGTGTCCCTACTGTTTAATCATTTATTTATTCATTGTTTTATCGCATTAATGAATAGCTTTCGTTCGATACACGTTACGTTTTATACTTAATGGCTCTACATCTATTAATGTCTCAAAGGACTCTACCATTCGGTTCAAAGCAGGCTATGCCATAGCATTTGTCATTAATGTTCACTTCTCTTGATTAGATGTGTAGCTTAATGCATGTAGCCCGCTTTTTATACTTAATTATTGTTATTTATGTCCTGTCTAATAAATTAAGTGAATCCTCTAGAGTTCTAGACAAAACGCTGTACTTTTTAATTGCTTATGCAGTGTTAGAAATTGAAATGGTATTGAAAAATTTTATCATGTACCTAGGTGGGATAGCAAAATTTTATATGGTTAGTCAACAAGGAGCCAATGGCTAAATTATTTGATAAAAAAAAGCCTCTACATTTATTAAAGTCTAACTAACCTAAGAAACCAATAATAAAGGAGATCAAGTTAAATCTAACACTGACTGATACTGATCCGCTACTGGACAATAAATCTATTGATGGACTAGGCACTACACTATAGATTTATTGGATCCCGTTCCTAAGTTACGTACAAAACAGTAGATATTCCACTAATTTCATCCATCTACAGCGTGTTTTAGTTTGTCTGAAAGCACAAATAGTGAAACTTCTACTATGTAAGCACTTATCCAAAAATTTATACATACATATGTAATTTCCGGAAACGGAAAATAAACATATAAATGAGATAATGATTGTATTCTCATTTGGTTACCTAATAAGTAGTTATTGACAAGCCGAACTTGTATATTATGTAAGTAGAATAATGTAAGTACATAATAAATATCTTAACTCGTACTTACATAATTTGGCATTTTCAAGACATTTTGTTGTTACTATACACCTTCATTATTATTATCGCGTGTGTATAAATATCTTAACATTTACAAAGTCGCCCAGAAACGTGAGAAAGTGTTGATGCTAAAACTCTTAAATAAATACTTGAAATTTTAGGTAGTCCTTATTAGTAAATTACCTATAGAAAAAGCCAATAAAGCAGTTAAGGAAGTCGTTAAAGACAACATCTACCTACTACACAACCAGATTCGTTTATCTCCAATGTTTGTAATACCGAAGCCTCTACAATTATTTATTCTTCTTCGTGTATTCCGTGTACTTTTATTAGGATCTGTCTACGAGATAGCCTAAGTAAACCTACATGAACCACTAGAGATTTGGGTTTATTCGACCAAATCGAAGATTCCATAATTGGTCTGGAACAGATCCCAATTTGCGTCTCCATGGAAACCTGCCTAAATTCACGCACTAATGCTACCATTAGCCTTATTATAGACACCTGAAAATTGATATTAAAGTCTCATGCACTATTTATAGCACATTAATAAAATTGAATTTTAAATTTCTGTTCGCTTAGTACGTTGACGCACCAATTACCTACAACTGAAGAGTTGATATAAGCGGTAGTAAAACTTTATTCTAATTTTAGATATCAGTATTGATTGAAGACACAGTAAAATATGCAGAAAGTAAAACAGCAGTCAACACTTTTGTAAATGCAAAAAAACGACTCTATATTTTGCGATCGTGTGAATCTCAGCAATTATCTCCATGATATCAGATTTAAAGTGGCAATATAGCGATAAATCACAAACAATAAATCAGATCCGTGAAAGCTCACAATTTCGCGTATATGAAAGCGTTATTTTAACTAATCCTCCATCCCTAGCAGTTTGTTGGTGTATTTTTAAAGTTTATTTTAGGTTGAAGCATGGATAACTGGTGTTTCATTTTGACCCGTATGGCTTTCGTGATAGGGTGTTTGTGCCCTGTAAACAGCATGGCGTCGAGCAAATGCATTGTCCGTGGTCGGCGTAGAGGAAGGGCCATTGTGCGCCCTCCTTGGCGATTAAGCATGGGCGAGTGCCCTTCCCATTGTTGCCTGGCTCTTGAACCCCTATTATCTATGCTAGCTATGCATTTTGGAGATGAGATGATGATGAAACGTAGAGTCAAGTTTCAAAAACCGTCAAAAATTAGAAGGCAAAAGACAAAACTTTCCTATAAGGAAAACCAAGATTAGATAGGTATTTTTGCATGGAACTTCTTTTGTGTTAGGTTTTACACACACAAAATTAAATGAGGAAAATCAGGTCATTAATTTTCAGTTATTTGTACCAAATTTTGTCTCTTTTTTGTATTGAGCACTATTATTATACTGAAATCGAGTGTTCACAGGTCAACGCGTATTCGTATCATTCAGCTTTCTACTTTCATAATGGCTATTCAGTGCGCTACTATATTGAACAATTTCATCTTATTAGTTTTAGTTTCCACTCCAATATACCGCCGAATTTACGATTAATCTTTACAAAATTATCGTTAACTTTAATAACTATTTCAAATATCCTCGCGCTCGAAATATCAATCGTCTAAAACATCTTTAATTAACTTTATACTTGGAAATATGTTTTCAAAACGATCGTTTTTGGCATAGCAACGATTAGAGGAATGTTTCGTTAATCCATCACAAAGTAAACGTTCGAGCGATCGCTCGCAATCGAAAACATGGGTCGGGGGAAAACAACTTATGAAGGCAATGAAAACAAGAATCCTTATAACTCAAGGCAAGCCCCCGGCTTAAGAGACCGTAAGATGTAGTAGGTACACACAGTTCTTTTAGAATATGATTGCCAATATTCCAATATCAATAACATCGGTTGGCGTTTGAACATCTCTGAAGCAATTTAACTCCAAAGCTTTTGATTTTGTCTTCGATGTCTCTACTAACAATAATGAGTGTAGAAAAAAGTTGTTTGCGAAAAAAGGTTTAACTCTACACCACAGATTATAACTATCTTTAAAAGCAGGTCGCAACAAGTACCGTGACTCATCACATTTGAAGTTCTACGCTTGATATTAACTTTGGAGTATGTCACATAAACCCACTGCACAGATGCTTGCCACACAATCTCTACGACCGCCTATCATGGATGTGTGGTGTCAGCTGTTACGATGTGTATTTAGGCCCTTAATACCGGCTTTGTTTCACTCACATGGTCAACGACCTCTCTATCATCATATGATAAAGCTAATATGGCAGCTTGTGTTATGAAACTCATATCTGATAAATATCGAATGCGTCGCTTTTATCTTGAAACTTAGAATATTGTGTTGAAAACAAAAGACACAATGCGTGTTTCTTTGTTACCTACGAAGTGATTCCACTAATTGTGACTCACGTAATATAGCTCACGATATAAAATAATACGTTTCTATTTTTATCAAACAAAAGTGAGTTAAAAACGCTTAATAAAGAGGCTTTTATAGTCATTAAATGTGGGTGCGACACTGAAAGTACATCTCATGTAACTGATACGCGCTAATTGGCTAAAATCTCAATTTTCTTTTGACCTCAAAGGAAATGAGAACGCACTAAGTGTTCGGTAATTTAGCGTCTAACGGAATCTCAGTATTGATGATCATACTGATATGAGTCACGAGGCCATATTTACAAACACTCACACGTTTTTAGCATAGTAAGGCTATTTTACATTTTATGATTCGCATATTTAATGAGTCACCGACTCTGCCTAGTTGTAATTGCATAATTTAATTCCCTTAGTAGGTATTGATAAAACACCCAAGTCTTGAGGCTATCTATAAGGAAATAGAAGCTAACGCATCACTTTGATCTTTACAATATCTTCCGATAAAAACACATACGATTTGATGACATAAAAGTATCTCCATAGGGTCTACATTTCTCTATCACATATTACAGAACCTTACACATAACCTTACGTTCCGTGAAGTCTAAAAACGTGGACTGGCTTATGACTACGCGTCTCGTAGGCGTAAGTAGGTATCGCGATGTGTTTTTGTTTACACGCAAACTGTGAGCGCGGGCCGTAAACCGTAAGCGAATACGTGCGAATTAAATAGATTACTAGGTCAACCACGAGATTCGTGACGCTAACCTTAACTTAGAAAATGACTGACTAAAACTAAAGACAGACATGTTGATGACTCCAAGTAAATGTTTTTTCTTTCTTTCTTTCTTTCTTTCTTTCAAGTCAGCTCTACCTTTCTGAAAATAGTTACAACGGTTTTGTTCCTATTTTCGTGAAACTAATAGAGTAAAGCTTTTCCGTTTCTTTTGTTGTCTTGTAGAATAAAATATTATATTGTACATATCTACGTATTAGACTACGAGTATTACAAATAAAAATCATAAATATCTTCAGGTTTGCCCAACAGTCTCCCAATGATGAAAGTTCTGACGGAATTGGGTCGTAAATTGATTGTGTAACGATAAAAACAAACGACATCCCGCACTCGACGCATTCGGGACAGGTACACTAAATAAATAATGTCCTCTCTAGCACCTGGGCCGCGTTCCGGGCGCGGCGAGCCTTTACGACTCTATTGAAATTCAATTTGCGCCGGCACCTGCGACTAGCGTCCCGACTCCCGAGTCTCTTCAAAGTAAGCAAAACCTTTCCTTACAAAACATATTTGAATAGACACAATTACATTTCTATTCAGGTGAACAAAATAATTCACGCCCAAAAGCAAAATTATATTTTTTATTTCACAAACAAAATTATTCCTCTAATTGGCACAATATTGCTGGCCAGAAAGAATTAAAT